ATATTAATTTATAATTATTAATATTTATATACAATCAAAGTACAACTAAATTACAACGTACAAGTTAAAAATAAACCCTCCTGTGATATTATATATATATATATATATATATATATATATACCTTTTCACGAACCCTTGTTATACGTTCTCACGCGATCTACGTTATTTCTTTCCTTTTTTTTATTCAAGAATCTTTTTCTATTTTTTGTTTTGTTTTTCTAACACCTCTTTCTCTCTATCATGTCCGTATTGGGCGTGACCCATTAGCGGCAAATAATAGTAGCCGATATTTAAACTGTAACGTTTTAACACCGTTAACGATGCGTATCTCTTGGTAAAAGTCAACCCTTTCTTCTCACATTGATCTAATTTGCATTGGTGGTGGTGGTTTGTATGACATGCAAAAAAAAAAAAGAAAACAAAGAACAACAAAAAAAAAAAGAAAAAGAAATAGAGAAGGAAAGAAATATATAAGTCATAAGTCGTAATACGGATCTGTTACGAGGAAAAGGGTTGACAATTTTTAGACCACCGTCCTGTATCTGTGTGTGTGTATATATGTTTGTATGTGTCTCCTGTATTCTTGTATGTGTTAGAAATGAGGGAGAACACTTTGAAAAGGGAGAAGAAGAACAGCAATATGTTTGAAAACGTTTGTACGGAGATAAACGACCGGCTAGCTAGCTAGCTAGCTACGAAGGTTTTATACTCTTTTGTTTTTCGGTAGGCGTTACCTAAAGGTACCTTTTTGTGCAAGGTCCACTTCCTGCACAAAAGGGCGAACATTCGTCAGTGATAGCCCTTCCCGACAACGACGACGACGACGAGGCCGATGAGGAGGACGAGGACAACACACAAATACCCCCATAGAAAAGGCAAGGTCAGAAAGAAAAGAAAAGAAAAGAAGAAAAAAAGTAAGAAAAGAAGATATAAAAATTGCTATGATCAGTATGGAAAAAATAATAAAAAGGAAAAAGGAAAATCGTTGAACAATACTTTCTCGGTGTGTTCTCTCTTTTATTTTATTGTATTTTTATTTTTTATTGTTTAACTCTTTGAATTTTTCTCTCGAACGAAGGAGAACCTGGCCCCCATCATCCTGGGGGAGTGCAATAAAATCTTACGAGAGAGAATTGCTTATTTTCTATAAGATTCTTCTTCTTCTTTTTACGGAATTATATTGTATACATTTTTGTTGGAAAATTTATAGAGAAATTTTTCTTTCGTTAGTACGCGTGCTCTTTATCCAATATTTTGTGGAAATATAAATAAATATATATATAAATTAAATAATTGTGTAATATTTTATAAATATAAGTTGTTGTGTTATAGGTTTTAGATTTCTATATTATAATATTCGTGCAACAAATTTGGTATAAATAATATTTGTTAAACGTATCATTGAATAATTATTTATTTAACATTAAATATGAGTAAGTATATTTTTATCCTACCTATTTAAAAAAAAGAAAGAAAAGAAACTATACGTGAGTGATGAAAAAACATTTCAATCCACTTTAATACAAAACAAAAATGGACCACCAATTACCACAGATAAAAAAATACGATTATCAAATCTTAAATTGATGAACGTTGAATCAATCAATTATTTTTAATTGTTCATTTATCTTCTTTTTTTTCTTTTATAAATCCTCTAATGAGAAGTAACTCGTTAAATCAGAACAATTTTGATCTTATATCTTTACATATTGAAAATATGAAAAAAAAAAAAAAAAAAGATCGTACAATTTTGATAATATCATTCCTCATCTAAAAGATCAGAAATCTCAATGCGTAATTACTGTACCTCGACAAGGGCAACCCGAAGACAATACCTCGAAAGGGCACGTGTCGCCCTACGCAGTTCTTTATGCTGCCGTTTCCTTTCTCTTTCTCTTTCTTTTACTTTCATTGTCCGAATAAAACAAAACGTAGAGGAGTATAGTAGTAGGAGTAGTAATAGATTTGTGCCCTACGATTCCTTATTTAAAAAGGTCCTTCGTAGTTAACGAGTGAAAGTACCAATTGAATATCTAATTAATCATTTCTCGCAAACACCATAAATAAATACTCACTCTTCTTTATACTCGAATTTGTTTACTAATGATAAATAAATACTAACTTTAAAGCATTGGGGTTTGTTTGTTTTTTTTTGGGGGGGGGTTTGTTTCAAACGATTCACACGATTAATTAACAAAATTAATACGAAATAATTTCTTTTGAAGTACCTTGTATATTCATAATTATTTTCTATAGAATTATTTCTTATCTACTGCAAATATTGAATATTTATAAAAACTAATGTGTGTTTTATAATGTGTTACTAAATAATCATTTAATTAATAAAATATATTATTAGATTCTTTTATTTTTTTTTTATATAATTATACGTAAATATTGTTTTGATCATAAATTCAACGATATGATAAAAGATTTGAAAAGGATGTTGTTTGATAATTGGAAATTTTTGATTAAAATTCGTTTAAATAATTTTCAATGATTGCATCGAAGAGAATGAAACGAAATGCAATAGAGAAAAATAGATGTAAAAGTAGATTCTGTGTTAGACTTTAAAATGACCTGAGGATACAACACTCGAAAATACGGTTCAAAGAATGCGCCTTGTGTGTCACCTAAGTAGATTTACGAGCTTCCAAATTAACGAACGAGACTGACTGTTCAATCTTCCAAGGATATTTCATTCCATTCTGTCGGAATAAACTTATTTTAAAAAAGAACACATTAATTCCATTATACCGAAATACTAACTAACAATAAGTTAAATTTTACGATAAAGAAAAAACTCCTCCGCAAAAAAATAAATATGTTGAAATAAATAACAAATACAATTGATATATATACATTAATACAAAAATAAAACGTAATAGAACGATTCTATTCGTTGATTAAAATGTTCAAAATAAAATTGAATAAAAAAATCTAACAAATAATTATTTAATATTTCACACACACACACATACACACATACATACATACACGCGTATAATTTAAGGAATTATTCGAATAAAAATCAAATCGATGTGTGTTAATCAAATAATTTGTTGAAGTATCTTAAAAAAAAGAAATCAATGTAGTTTGTAGAAAGAAAATGGCGGGTCCAGGGACAACTATCGATCGCAATGGCGAAGTTGGGATGTTTTCTCCCACCCTTTGACTATATTTCGTCCTCGACACAAGGACAAAGAATGAACGAGACATTGACAATAATAAAAAAATTCAAAAAGAGAAGAAGAAGGAAGAAAATGACGAAAAAGTAGATATCCTTCTGTGAAAACTTGTATAGAATCGATCCTACGGCGCCGATTTCGTAGACTTTTTCGAATTCTAACATAATAATGAAAAAAACGTTTTTGAAAATAGGTCAAAACCAATTTGTAGTATTAGAAAGTGAACATTGTGAATTATTGGACATCGAATAGAATGGTTCAACAGTTAAATTCAGAATAGAAACAGATCCCCTGTAGGGAAACGTGAAAAATCTTTTACCGAAAGAATTTAGGTCAATTCCTGACACAAAATGAGACAAAATTGATCATTACATTGTTCAATAAATTGATCTAAGTTATATTAATTAAAGTCACGCGATTTATATTCTTATACAAAAATGTAAATAATATGTTTTTATATTAGAATTAATATTCCTAGACAATTGTATGAAATTTTGTTGTTTCTTCGATATGTAAACGATTATTGTTGTATTACTAAGGTCAATAAATATTTGAATTTTGTTTAATAATTCAAAGTAAGATCAATATATTTATATTAAGTATATAAAATTTGATTTGATTTATATCTCTCGCGTTATAATTTTGAATTTATTCGATTGAATATAAAATAATCGAAAGAAAAATCTTACCTTGCCGTGTTCCTTATCAAAGTCACAATCCTCTCTTCTATCGGGAGGGTAATTACCACAAGCATTACCAAAAACAATTTGTAGATTAGTTCCGGTTGCTGCGAATGCTATGTCGACTTGGCCTTCACGGCAACTATTTTGAAAACGCACTTGACGTTCTTCCATCGGCCTATCGCGATATCCGGTATACCTTACCTGTAATAATAATAATAATAATAATAATAATAATAATAATAATAATATAGATTTATAGAGATATTTACAAATAATTGTAAATAGGTTTGTGTATCGAATCGAATCACTTTCTACACGAGTTTATTAAATTCAATTATAAACGATTATTATTCGAATAGTTTACATAAATATTTACACAAATATTCAACGTTAATTAAATGAAAAAAAAAAAAAGAAATCTATATATATATATTTGAATTAAAGGGAATTTATAATACAGTTTGATATGTTATAATATTAACGTTTTGAATATATATAATATTAAAATTGTTTATAATATATAATAATGAATTGTATGAAAAATAAATTGAATTATGATTTACCTCGCTTTCACGACTGAGTCTTCGAAATAGTTCGTCGCTTTCGAACTTGGCCTTCTGATCTGGTACAACGCGTGGCATTTTTAATGTATAACGAGGTCTTGGTTGTTCGTAAAGAGCCATTGCATCGAATGGTAAAACACCAACTCCGAGACCGGTCGCACCGCCAGCGTGCTCGCTCATGGCGTGCATCATTTTTTCGGCGTACATTCACAGGCTTTTTATCCCCACTTTCTTTTTTCTTTTTAACTTGTGACTTCTTCCTTCTTCTCTTTTTTTTCTCTCTGAACCTATCTACCTACTTCCCCCCCGCCGCCGCCCCCACCAACTACTACCACTTCTGGCTTTTCTATTCGTTCTTTAGAAAATTTGGGATGCAACTGGAACCAACCTTTCGAAGTAGGTAGGTTGATCGATTCTATTCGAAAATTTGTCGCGTTAATTTTAAAAAAAACAAAACAAAACTCAAACAAATATCTTTTGTTTTCGATCTGTTGGATCGCGAAAATGTGTGTTGTTTTAATTTATTTTATTTTTTATTTTTTAAAATACACGCTATATCACCGCGTTTTATGTTTGATAATATATAATACGATAATATATATTTTATATATAAATATATAAAAGAGAGATCCGTACTTTACAACGTCCCAGTGGAAACTGACACAAGTTTAGAGAGAAAAAGACCCCTTCTTAGTTTCGGTGGGCCTGTATTAAGTCACGCCCACCGACCAGCCTCTATCAATCCCTCCCCGTTCAACTACTTCCTGATTCGTGAAATCTCTAGTAGATGTTACCCCCCCCCATCCCTCCCTATCGTTCTTAGATACATATGTATTGTATTATATAGTAGCTTTTTTATTTAGCCAATCTTTGCATTCGCATACGCATGCACACCACCATACACAGGTATTACCCTTATCATATACCTTTTATATACATGATGTGTGTGTGTGTGTGTGTTTGAAGACTTTTTCCGGTCAAACAGTGTCAGCGTATTTTATACACTAAAATAAGAAAATAATAATGTTATATATAAACGTAAATTGTTTAGGATTTGGCCAGATAATTTTTCGGATACACCGAGTGTATTATTATTTATATTATTTATATTAATGTAGTTTATATGTATAATTAAACTTTAGGTAGAAATGTTCGTACAATCTTTCTTTCGATATTACTGAAATGTGTTTAGAAAACTTTTTCTAAATATTAATGTATTGAATTCAGGATTTTCTTCAAGGCCATAGCTTACCTACAATGCTTGTCTGTTATCTTTACTTTTGTTTCTAACACGTTTACGATTACATTTTTTTTATTCTACCTTCGGTAATATATTTTTAAAGAGAAGTGAAAGTTTGTCTTTTCAAAAATTATAAATCATTTAAAACATTGTGACAGGCTTGTATATATAGAAATGAAATTGAAAAAAATCCCATAAGAACTTATAAAATAAACGATTAAATCCTTTAATATCATAACTGTGTTTGAAATGTATCATTTAAACAGTTCCTCTTGAATGTATCCAAAAATAAATTTAAAAAAAAGATTCGCGTTATATCTCTCCCCGCCTCTTGGGTTATCCGATTGGTCCGAAAGTTTCGCCAATCCTAGTTGTCCCTTTCAGCGTTAAGATTAAAAAAAAAAATACACTCGAGAGGATTGCATATGTATACCCCATATACTATATACAAGTATTATATACATTTACGCACACATGAGTATGCATACGTTGTATTCGGTATAAGTTGAAGATTTATACTTACACATATGTAAGTAAGTAAACGCCATTGAACGTATCATCTCCCCCTAACGATACTCGAAAGACAGCATAACAAAACATGGCTCGTTCTCCCCGGATTTTTATCCCTTGTCCTTCTCATACACCACTCTACTTCTCTTCCAACGAAAGCTGCTTTCATTTCTTTTTCCTATTCCGTATCACGTTACATACAAGGACATGTATTATATTATATACTACTTAAGGAAAATGGTAACACTATATAATCATTTGCACAGTAAACGTTAATTTGTTTATATAAAAAATAAATCATTTTGTTGTTAAGATTTTTCATGTTACAGTTTATCTTCATATAACAATAAGTATTGTAATAGAATTGTTTTAGAGATAATCTTATATTTTCTATATATACACATTTATATATTTTAATAAAATAAAAATAACAGCATTACGTATGTATTTCTGATACAACCCTGAAAAATCTTGACATGTTTAAAAAGCATACTGTTAGTAGGGTTGAAAAATTTTCGGCATGTACTACTCAAGTTTAGGACTTTTCAATCAACCTTATCGTAGGCTCAGAAATTTTCAATCCTTTTCGTAGTAAGCTCAATACTTTTTAGCAAAATTAATATATGCATCTATAGAATTTGGTTTTCTATTATAAGTAATGATGCATTTATCTATACACTTACAATGCGATAGTGTTTGAACGAAAGTTTACATGTGCGTGTTAAAATCGATAGAGAGAAGAACGTTCTCGTTGCCAGAGAAACTTCGTTAGAGTTTCGTACTTTCTCGAATATATCGAATAAACATTTCTGAAGAATATTTGAAGCAGTGCAATGTCGTTGATTCAGAAGCAATCTTACAAGACAATGAGTTCCAATCAAACTGATCACTGTAAACAATATCATTTCAAGGTTAGTAATCAATTAATTATTTAATTTATTGAAATTATTATAAACTTAAGTCGACAAACCTTTTTTTCTTTTCTTTTTAAAAATTTCTCTTAGTTTCTTTTTTATATTTTACTTTTTATTTACAGTTAAGAGAAGTTAAATCAGCCATCGATACGAGCCCACCTAAAAGTAGATCTCACGTTATTTTTAATGCGAAACGCGCACAATTGGAACGTGAAAGACAAGCACGAATTCTTAAGGATAATTTTATACTTTTACAAAAACTTAATGCGATTATGTATCGAAAACGAGCTAAGGATGATTATCAACGATTAAGGTGGCAGGAATCGAAATGTATTAGAGTACATTGAAATCATTTTCTTTTTAAATAATTACTAATCAATTAATACTTTGTGTATTTTTTTTGTACCTTGTATCACTTGTTTATAGATTGTTCAGCAATAAATATTCATCATTTTGATGCTAATAATTCGTCCTATTATTTTATCATTATATTATTTAAAAACGAAATAACAAATCTAAATTATCGATTAACAATTATCGATTAACAAATATCGAAAGCAAGATTGTTACAATGGCGCCATCTGTTAATTCAAAATTTGAAATTAATAATTGTATCAATTGATACGTCAGATTCCGATATTATCATCTGTAGATATTGAATAATTATAGCGCTGTTATCGTTTCAGATCATCAGATAAGACGTATAACATAACCTTTAAAAGTTTAAATGCCCGTGTTCTAGACGTGGAGTCATCGAACTGAATAAAATCACGTGGAGAAATGCGTTTGTAGTTTGAGGACTAACAAACGTTGTTTATTTAACTGAAAATTATTATAGAAAAAATCTTGACATAATAATTTATTTTTTCAAAAGACATTTACGTGAGATAAATTATTATTATTATTATTATGCTTTAAGATGGCTGTTAATTTAGAAAATGCAAAAAAACAATTCACCGATTTGATGAGAAATTTAAACAAAAAGGATCAGGAACAATTTTTTGCTTTTATTTTGCAAGAATGGAAACCTATGGAAAATATATTCGAATGTCGACCGGGTTTGTAAAGTTTCATATATTATTTGTATTATTTTTTATTTTGACAATTCTATTAATTTTGTTATAAATATTTAGATAAACGCGCAGTTACACATGATTTAAGGAAAGATATGGAAGATGCTATTATAGACGATCCAGTGTTCTTATTAAATTCTATAGCTTATGATATAAAAAAGAGAGTTCCTTTTAATGGAATATTACCTTCTGAACATATAGAAACTCCTAAAAAAGGAGAAGTAAATATAAATATTTAATTAACATTACTAATGTGTGTTCTTCTAATCTTTCATTCAAATTATTCACTTATTACAGAATTCAGACTGCGATTCTAATGTAACATTGCACGTTGATGAATTTCTTTATGACGACGACGATATGAATGAATTGATAGACAATGGAAAACTGCAAAAATATTATTGTTGCAATTGTGGATCAAGGGATATTAAACCATTAAGTAAGATTACTAAATTATAACATATTTATCTGAAACCGCTTGCACTCTAACAAGCGTTCTACTCGTTGCAAATCTTATGGGCCAAATATAAGAAGCAAGAAATATAGCATCAAATGCAGCATGCAGCTCTTCGTATTAAATTATAGTGCAAGGGGTTAATCCAATATTATTAATGTATTTATACTATGTATTTTTTAGTATTTATTTCACATTCCATGTCAAGAGATGCTTTATATTTTATATTTAATACCTTATTACCTACTTTAGAAGGTAAAATGGTATTGGATATTGGATCACGTTTGGGTGCAGTTTTGTACGGCGTAAGTAAGAAAATAAATAATATTAATTTTACGTAATCATATAGAGAGTTAATACAAAATGATATGCGTTTTTCAGGCATACGTTTATACTGATGCTAGTAAAATAATTGGTATAGAAATGAATAAAGAATTTTGTGATTTACAAAATAGCATTATAAATCAATACAAAATGAACGACAGGATTGAAATCTTACACAAAAAGATCGAGGATGCACCAGAGGTGGTAAAAGCTAGTGACGTTGTAGTCATGAATAATCCTTTTGAATTTTATTTATCGGAATCAGAACAAATTGAAATCTGGAGATTTTTGAAGTCTAATTTAAAAAAAGGAACGATTCTAGTCTTACGACCAAATATAGAAATAATGTTAAAACATTTACAAACGGGAATTGTTACAAGCGATTGGTTGAAACCTCTTCCTCAATGTCAATCGAATAATCAAGAAAATTCATCATTTTCATCAGTGACTAGTCAAGACGACGAGGAGTACGACAATATAGTATGCTATGAAATTAAATGAAAAAATATATTAATCATTTAATCGATTTTTAGATTAAATTTCAATTGTAACACACGTGCATCTTATACACATACATTATATCGAATATTTATAAACAATGCTTATATATATATAACATCTCTGTGTGTATGTGTGTGTGTTTATTTGTACTTTCGCACACAATCAAATTTGTATAAATAAATGTAAAACTATTTCCAGCAATCAAATATTAACAATAAATTAAAATTCAAATTATTTTCCCTGACAACATATTAGACATTGTTACCAAACTTTAAATAATATTAAAAATAATATTAGAATTGATTATAATAATTTATATCTAAATCTTTTATTCGATTGGTTGACAAATATTTTCTATCAACGCGATTGGTTGAAATTTGTAATCGGTGAGAGTAACCAGTACCATCTAGCGATGGTTCCTGGTATCTATATTATGTTTTCGGAACTGGGATCGTCATTTCTCAAATTTGCGGTTGTGTATTAGGATAACAAAGAAATAGGTGATTTATTATACGAATAAATAAAAGAAATTAATCGAAAGATTTGACGGTTTTGTTCATGAGATGCTTTTAAGGGTAGACATTGAATATCGTCGAGATAATTCACGGATTTTTTGTCATTGCATCTGGAATAAAATAATGCGAGGTGCGTATGTGTGACGTACGATCAATAAATTATTAAGAAATTCTCATCTAAAGTTTATCTTTAAGATACTTCGTATTTATTTTTCTTTCCTCCATTTATTTTACTACCAATTAATAAAACGAAAAATAAGATATTACAATTCGAATTTTCCGGGATAAACTTGGATATGTTATTTCTAGCATTGAAAATATTTAAATACGTCTATCTGCACAAAATGACAGTGGCCATAAATTGACAGTAATCGTCGGTGCCCCCATATTCTTAGATTCTAACTTTAAAAATGATTAAACCGGGAATAAATTAAATTCGTCATACGTTTCTATTCTATTATAATTTAACATAAACGTTTTATATTCGGATATTTGATTTGTATAATTGTGTGATATAATTTAATGAAAAAAAAGAACATATTCAAATATTGTTTGTTTTTTAATCTTGCGTAGCAGATGTGCGTTTGTTTGGCAAGTATTTAAATGAGTATTTAAATTAAGTCAAATGAATATTTATATATGTATATAAATTGTATATTTTTAAAATAATATTTAAACTAATAAATAAATTGTAATTATATGTACGTAATGTGTATAATATAGTATATATACATACATATTATACGCATAATACGTTATGTATATGTGTGTGTATGTGTGTGTGTGTGTGTATCAGTGATATTATAAATAAAAAAGTAACTTAGTTAATAATTTAAATATTTTTGTTAAATTAAAGGTAAACAAGTATAAATAAATATGTCTCATGGCTGCAAAAAAGCTAGACAGCAAGGAAAATGGAAATATAGAAAGAGTACAACAATTGTTACAAGGTCAATCATTCTACACTTTGAACAGATGTGAATTTCCTTTAACTTTGCAATTTCAAAAATTGCACATTCGTCGAGGGGATAAAATTAACGATAAAGATATTCATAAAATTTCTAAACATGTTTTAAGGTAACATCGTTAATTTAGAAAAATATAAATTAAAAAAGAAAAAAAATATTAATATCGTATGAATATTTATAAAATGTTTAATTATATTTTACAGATCTTTATACGTTAATTTGGATTTGTTACAAGAGAAATGGCAACCAATAGTATTTATTCGTGATATTTCTATTAAACCACCGATAAGAAGTTTCTTTTACTTCAATAATGGATCAGATTTCAGTGAAAGGTTTTCTTTTAAGTAATAGTGGTACATCATTTTTTATTTGATATTAATAAAAGCATTCTTCGTACCAGATTTTATTCCTATATATTTTTTCTTTTCAAAATAATATTTTTCGTTTATAAAAAAGAAAGTATGATATATGATAACTGATCGAATTTATTTTGATCTCAACAGAATACATAAAATATGGTCACCAACGAGCAATACAACTGAACATTATGTGAAAGTCGAGAAACGCTATGTCGTGATAAATAAAAATCCAATGTCATTAGAAATGGCTGATTCAATTAATCATCTTGAAACAATAACTTCAGAAAATAATTTGGATGTAGATTTAGAGGAATCTCAATTACCAACATATACTTCGACTATTGATGCAACGCTTTCAGCTTGTATTACACGAACCGATCATGAAGGCAATCTACCTGCTATTGATTGCAAACACGATGATACTTTAACTACTTATGGTGATTCGCGTCGTACAAAAGATTTACATAAAATAGCATTAATGGATTACCTTATTAACGACAGTAGTGCTACGAGCTCTTCTATGAATAGTCAACATGAATATTCGTCTGGTTCGTCGATAGAAAATCCTAAAAAAGTAACGTTGCATAACGATGAGATCACCCAATACGAAAATGAAGTTCTTGGTGATCCATTTTATGAATCGGATTGTGGAAGCGAGGGAGGAAATGAGATCTCTGAATCTGTTCCAAAAGATATTGACGAATGTAAAGAGAAAGTATTCGAAAAGTTAGAAGATGAAGAAGTACATGATAATTGTACTCAAGTGGAAAGTTCATGCGCAGAGAAAGTACAGCACAAATTGACTGATTTCACGCGTTCATCGGCATGCAGTAATTCTAATATAAGTAATCATTACTTCATAGACGCGTCTTCTTTGAACGACGAAGTGGAAATTTTAAATATTAACGTTAAAGAAGATGTACAAACTGGTACAAATGCAACACGACCTTATATGTCTGTTTCCGCTGATTTTGCACAGACTTTATCGCAAAGTACTGCTACTGATCAATTCTATAAGTTTACTACTTGTCCATTTAAAGTAACCAACATACAAAACGAATGTAATAAAATTGCTGAATTTGAACCGGAAATGAAAATAACTAAATACTTTCAACCAGTTGTTGATATACCTAAGATAACAAAAATTAACTCAATGTTAATAAGCAAAGACGACGCGAATAAGGGTACAAACAAAGAGTCATTAGCTGTAGAAATAAAAGAAGCAGATAGCGGTGAAAGCAATCATGCTTCGCCGTGTCCTGATAATAGCACAAATATCAATAATTCTCAAGATAAAGTAGATGTAAACAGTGATATAAAAAATGATGAAAATGTACGTTTGGATATTACGACGGAGGATTCGAAGGATCCTAAAGAGACTAATAAAAATACAACTGGAGATGCACAGCAACCTTTGTTAATAAGAAGAAATACATTTGAACTCGATTCGAATGATAAGCTTTCCGTGTTACGACAAGAATACGAACGTAGACAAGGCAATCTTGTTTTTCAAAGTGCCATACCACAATATTCGGGACATCGTGTAGATAGTGATATGATTTCTAATGCTACTACGGATTCAACGGCTGTACCTATCAATGACGTATTAAATAATTTTACTCCTGATATTAAAGTAGCTACAAATATGCAACAGTATCATTCAGGATATTTATCCTTAGACAATTACGAATCTAAAATTGATAAAAATTTATTAGAAAATAATTATCTTGCGCAAAAAAATAGTATTGCCAATTCCGATACATTGTATACCAGTACGGATAAAACAACAGATGATAAAATGACGTTGCAATGTTACGATGACGACGATAGTGCATATAAGTCTAGCAGTAGCTTACCAGTTACTGTAGGTTGTAATATAGAAAATGTTAAGTTGGTAGATGTAATCAGAAAAACTAAAAGAAATGAAACTGCTCCAATTATTTCTGGTGGGGTCAGCACATCAGATTTTACCAAACCTATGGATAGTCCTATCGTAAAACGTAAAACGGAATCTACGCCTATCGTATCTGGCGGTTCTGTTATTATGGATGATACTAAAGATAAACCATCAAGAATGTCTTCTTCCATGACCGCGTGGGTTGTAGATATGAGCGATTGTACAAAAAGTGAATCAGGATCAACAACGAGAGATAGTTCCATAACTAACATGTCTCAAAGTTTTTCCACTTCTGAATGTATTAAAAATTCAATAAGATCTAACAGCCACGAGAAGCAAAGTAGTTTAGGTTTTTTCGTCAATTTAAATAACGTAGAATCTAAAGAAGAGAAACAACCGGTGGAAGAAAATATTGAAAGTAAAAAATTAGAAGCACAGAAAAGTGACAAAGCTTATTGCGAATTCTATATCGATATATCGAATAAAAATGATCTTCCAAAGAATAAAAAGGTTGTTAAAGAAGATACGAATCATAAAAATGTTGAGGAAGTCGATAAGAAAAATATATTCTCTATGTTCATAGATTTAGGAGATCCGCAAAAGACGACCGAAAGTGTTCCTCCTCCTCCTCCTAAAACGATGCATAAAAGAAATTTATCTTCGTTCACCGACAAACGTATCGAAGAGAAAATAGACGAGGTTGCTATCAACGAAAATTCTTCTACTCTTCAAGAGGATCAAGATTCACATTCGACTAAATCGATTAAAGAAAAACCCAAACGCGGTGTTTTCATGTTCATCGAATCGGATTCTCCTATAGTAAGAAGACGAACTTTATCCTCTTCTCGATCGGTTTTGAAACGTCATTCATGGAACATCGATAAAACACAAAGTACCAATGGTAATGGACAAGCACCTAACAAGGAATCAATAATAAAAAAAGAACATAAACGAGCGCATAGCTTGTCGGTGGATCAAAGGGATTTGAAGAAGATGCAAACTAAACAAAGTTCTTCTAGTCATTCTCTCAGTGATGCTGCAGGAGGTGAATCAACAAATAATAAAAATTCAAATTCGTTTCACGAATTGGAAAGTAATTCTAATAATAACATGGATACGTCTACGGAAGAATGTTTGGCGTATGATATAAAGGATACTCCTCCAAATTCTCACATAGAAATAATCGATAAAGAATTACGTGCTAGTATCAAATATCAACAATACAAGGAATTAGGTAACGACAGAGAACAGCCATTGGATGACGATACAAAAATATACGAAGACGAGTATTCAGATATGTCTGGATGGGGCAAGACATGTACGGAAAGTACTAATGGACAAACACGTAAAAGTGAAACATTTGACATTAGCAGTGGCAGCGGACCATCTCCCAATAGCGATAATCGTGATTATGAATTATCGGATTTATTAAGCCGAGATGTTGAAACTAATGTTAACAAACATCCAATTATTCCTTCGACTGGCAATAAAATATTAGAAACTCATAAATCTTTAAATGAGACTATTAAGAAGATAGAATGCGAGTTGGAAGGTCCAGATTATGTAAAAGCGGATTGGACTTATAACAATCATACGTCTGTATCTAAAGTAGATAAGAATAATCATGTTGTTAATCACGATGTCAAGGATTTACAATTGAATAAGAAAAAGCCTAGTTCGAAATTCGTTAGGCTCTCTGATTTAACAGAAACATCTGGACATTCTCATACCTCTGATTATTTAATGCCCAAGGAAAATAGGGCTGTATATCGTATGAGTAGTAGTATTCCAGAAACATCTTGGATAGAAAGTAAATTAGTTATGTCAAGAGCCAACGATTCTGTTAGAACTCTCTCTAGAGTATTTTCTTCTGTCATGAGTACTTCGTTACCATCCAAACAAAAATCACCACTTGAGGAATTAACGAGAGACGGGGAAGCTGAAGGTATCATTTCTGAAAGCGATATTAGTAGCATGCAAAGTAGCATGGGACGTTCCGGAGCTGGTATGTACAAATTATCTTACTATATATTATATTTATTATACTATAATATATAATATATATCAATATAATAATTTGAAAATTATTATTAAAATATTATTATGTAGATGGAAGTACAGAGGAAACAGAAACATCAAGCTTGGCTGGAGGAAAACCACACAATCGGTTGGGTGAAGATTTGTTAAGAATGTTTTCGGAAGAAATTAATACGGACGTTACGATCGACGTATCCGGAGAACGTATTAGAGCCCATAAATGTATATTAAGTTCTCGTTGTCAATATTTTGCTGCAATACTTAGCGGTGGATGGATCGAAAGCGCAGGAAATGTAATTTCCTTACAAGGGTACATCGATATTATCTCATTTAATAATATTTCTAATGAAAAATTTAAAATATATATCAAGATTAATATTAATTTGAAAATGATTTTATACAGATATTCTTACAACGCGGTAAATTTTGCGCTACGTCACATATACAGCGGCGAAAGTAACATACCAGATTCCATAAGCATCGTTGAATTAGCTACACTGGCTGATATGCTTTGTTTAGAAGGTCTTAAAGAAGTTATCGGATATACTATTAAAGTCAAGTATTGTCATTCTTTTCATAAAGTAAATATTACTATTTTTTATCATATTCCTATAATTAAATATTAAATATATGTGATACTATAATATTTATAAAACTGTTAGCCTTGTCAAGTGTGTGCTGTTGGAGTTTTGGAATGTATGCCATTGGCAGCAGCTTATGGTCTGGATGAAATATATCGTAAATCATTGAGATGGGTAACAAGACATTTTGTACGAATATGGCCATGCAAAGCATTCGCAACCCTTCCGAGAGAATTAATGGAAAAATGTTATTTACAACATATAGTACATATGGTACGTATAACAACACACAATGTTATAAATAATTATTCTTTTTAATATACATTTGTATAAACGTTTATAAATTATTTTATTTTATTACTTTACTGTGTTCACACAGTCTACAGATAATGTACTTCAAACTATGATGGATTGTGATAAGCTGTTAGCAACTTTGCCAAATGCACGCTGGGCAGAACCGGTCTACAGAATGGTTTCAAATTTATTAGAAACTACGTTGAAATTTTTATCCGACAATTTTGCGGCAATATTAAACAATGAAAATTTCCAATCGCTTGGTCGGGATTTAACGTGGAACATAAGCCGTTTGGAGGATAACTTTTTATCCGCGGCAGAACGTTTACCACCAGAACAAGCGTGTAAAAGTTATTCCAGGTTGCATAAAATGTTATTGCCCTTACAAACGGATAATTTTCAGACCAAGCTGAAATGGGGTCCTTTGTTTATTGAATTTTTAAAGAAAATTCAAGTTCGCGTTGAAAAATGTTTGGTTCGCGAAGCAGCGAGAGCTGCGAGATCAACGACGTGGTTAAAAATGGATTTGGAACTTCGTCGTAGGATTCAAGAATTAGCTTGTCTTGTTATTTTACCACACGAAACGTCGAAATGTCAATCAAGGCATTCCAACTTGTTGAAGGTACAGTAATTAAAGATGAATTTTTATTAAACGAATTAAATTTATTATATTTTGTATTATATTCTCCAAAGGAATCAAAGACATCGTCTGGTTGTTCGGCGAGTCGGAATTTAGATTTGAAACGTGTTAAAATGGCTATATCCGAGCACAACGACAAAACGATGAAACAAATGCCAACGCGCAAAGTTTTAAATAAACCAAAAAGCGATCCCGTTGAAAGAAAATTGCAAGAGGATAATAAACCTAGTACGAGTGATGTACCTCCAAGTCGACCTAAATCATGGCCCAATAAAATAGAAGTAAATGAATATTAATAACATATATGATATTTTTCTATATTATTATATTAATAATATTAATTAATATGATTTTTAGGTAAAGTCTAGATATTTAGAACCGAGAACCAAATTTGTACCAAAAGAGAATGCTACAGTGAGTCAAGATAAAGTTATAATACAAAGACGAAAAATTACGATCTCGTCGTCAGATTCATCGCGTACGTCTAGTCCGGCGACAAAACGAGTGACAGAGAAAAAACCAATAACGAGAGTAAAGTTACCCGTAAAGAAAGACGTAAAGGCACTGTCGTCTGATAGTTTGACAGAATCTAACATGGCCAGACCGAACAAGAAGAAAAATGTTATAAGTAAAAGTTGCGGTATAACTCGTCCAGAATCGCCATCGTTTAAACAGAAAAGCACGGAGATTGGATTGTCAGTAGATTCGTTAGCAGAATCTAAAAACAAACCTACGATCGTAAAGAAAAATGTTAAAAAAATGGATACATCGATGTCTACCGATAGTCTTATGACAGAAATAACAGCCAATCCTAAATCTAATCCATTACAAAAATTATCACCGACATTAGGAAAGAATATAAATAAAACTCAAATTTATGATAGAACGAAGAAGAATATATCACCGATGCAACAGAAAAATCCGGTACCGGTAACGCGTAGGCCACCAAGAACTTTGGAGAACTCAACTGCAGCGAGTAGAAGTAGGGCAGCAGCTATTAACGCTTATCACGGTTCGCCAAATTTACGTAGGAATCTTTTGGATGCTGCCAAAACACCGGATATATCAAGTAAGTCGATAAATAATGTTCCCAGTCGGATAATGAATATGCGGCAAACTGTACAATCGACTGCTATGGTTAATTCGATCATTAAAAGAGAAAAGAAAGACAACAGCGCTAATCAACAAGGATCGGATAATTCGAGTAGAAAATCATCCCCTAAATCTGGCACTAATAGACCGAATAAACCGATCCTTGTTAATAAAAAATTATCTTCCAAAATCAACGACGATAAGATCAAAACTAAGTGCCATACCGAAGAGACTCCTAAACAACTAACGGTGGGTTCTAGATCGGGCACGTTTCTTAAAGATGAGCCTACTATACTTAAAAAAACGGACATTAAGTCATCTCAGATAAGTACTTAAATGTGCATATGGAAATGTAATCTTTTTTCTAAGATACATTACTATATTATTATAATAATATTAATAATAATATTAATACTATAATATTAATAATAATAATGAACACGCATAGAGAAGTCATTTAACGCAGCTAAGAACGTGATAAATGAAACGAATCATGCTCGATGTAAGATAGATTATTGCAATTTAAATTATATATATATATATATTAAGGCACAATTTAAATGCACACTTGATGATACGTCTATGCGTGTGCGCGTATTAATATGCATATGCATACAACGTTCTTACAGGCTCTATAGCATGTGATTTTGTTACAATATTAAATATTACTACGTATACACGGTCAGACGTTATATATATATATATGTATGTATAATATTTTAATCGCATTCCTTTTTGACATACGTTTATCGATGACAAAATTACTATTATATATAATTTATTTTTATTCTATATAAAATAATTTCCATTTCCTTGATCAGCACTGTAAATAATTATCCTGTTGTTTGTGGAACAGTGTGGTCACAATTATATTACCATATTTAACATCTTAGATTTTAATTCTAAATACAAGAACGAAAGAAGAAAGATCGTGATTTTATAAAATATCTTTTTCAGAAGAGTTTTCAATTATTAATTAATTAACTTTCTTTTTTTTCTTTTTTGCTGCTAACGATAAGCAAATTTGAATATTTTTATTTATTGTTTTTTTTTTATAATACTTATTATATAAACGAATATCTTCAAAGATCGGATGAAGCTTGACAAAAAACAACAGTTTCATATATCACACACATCACATGTAGAGACACGTATTTTAAATGTTTGCAACTACATTTTCTGTCTATATCAAAGATAAGGTATGATACGATCAACTTATATATTTTTAGGTAGTTGCAAAAATTAATCCTTTTCCCTATTTTCGAATAGAGCCATATTTATCATTTTTGTTTTTGTTTTTTTTTCTTTTTTACTACATACATATATGTTTTTTTTTAGCATAGATTTTATTTCTATAGTATATCTGTAAAACGACAAATTATGATCGAATTTTTTGTCTTCTTAATAAATATATTGCCATAGTCTATAAATATATATTATATATAATGTATATTTATTTCATTGATTGAAAATTTTTTTTTGAACTTATATAACATTTAGAATGCAGGAAATATATTGTATTCCTATATACAATAATAATATTTAGAATGGTAAGGAAATGTCACATATTGTATACAAATTTTTTAATATTCCATTATGTTGTTTCAGTTTCGTATTAATTTTGTCGATCGATGAAGATATACTATAGCAAAATAAATTAAATAATTAATAAAAAGATACGCAGTTTTATTTAACGTTGTATGTGATATTTTTTGATCTAAGTTATGTTTTGCGAACATTATTTACTTATATTGCTGAACGATCAGAATAGATAAAACATGAAGATATTAAAATTCTGTTCTGATCGTTTAGTTTTATTTACAAAAACAAATAAATGGATAATTATATTTGTTCTATTATATAGACTTAAGTTAATTCGAATGAAAATATACATTTAATTTTCCTAGATTATTATATACTATCTTAGAAAAATATAATTTTTTTTATCTTCATCGACATATCTACAAAACATACAAAAGAAAAAGAAATTTCTTGCTTCGCCTTAAACAATACTGTACGTTAATATATATTTATTTATTAAATTCTAATCTATATTTTGCAATGTAAATTTTTATGCAATGTTTATAATCTAGTCATTTGTATATTAATTACTTTTATGTAATGTTAATAAACATCTAAAAGTGTTAAAATATATTTACCAATTAAATTATACCAATGATTATATATATATACCTTAATTTAAGAGTATAACATAATAGACATAAATACATAAATAGAGAAAAATATTATTATAACGATTCAATTAAATTACTGCGATATGGACAAATTGTTGGAAAACTATACATCTAATAAAGTCCCTCTCGGTCTCGTCCGTTTAATATTTGTTTCCGTCGGTGGTATTGTTTTTCTTTTATTCATACCTTTTCTTTCTAATTGTTTTTCTATGATTCTTGCATTATTTGCATACGAGTCAGCAACTTCTCTCTACAAATTAAAATTTCATTTATAAATGTCCCAATTATATTTGGATAAATATTTTCATTATTTTAAATATTAGTTTGCTCAACTTACAGCTTCGATCTCATCTTCTTCTTCGTCTATCGTTGATACGGTTACTGAACTGAATTTACCCATATTTTTAGTATGTTTGGTAACCATTATCTTCTTAGGTTTTTCAATTGCTACTTGATTATATATGTCGGTCATTGGACCTTCTCCAGAACTTTTTATCACAGCACCCTTTACGATAAACACTATGTTCACATTTAGATCATGTTTGTAATACAAGAATAGACCACATCTGTATGACCATAATTTTTATATTAATCATACAAAAATATTTTATATATGTAGGTTGTTTATAACAATAATGAAGTAATACATACTTTTTACATTTTTGTCGATACTGTTTTTCTATTCCTTCTGAACGCTTAAGGTAAACGACTTCATCTTGTTCGCAGGTCATTTTATGTGCATGTTTACTGCCATCAATAACCCTTGCACCATCTCTTTTTCTTAATGGTAGTTTTTCAATAGCGCAATCTAAAATATAATAATTTTTTGTATAATTGTTCTTTATATGAAATTTTATGACAACAAAATTCAGCAGAAAACTAACCTAAAATTAATGTCATTTGACCACATAAACAATAATAAATATGTAATGGTTTTTCTTCGCCATATTCTTCTTGATCTTTTGTATCAGAACATATTATGCTCCTTGAAACTACTTTCGGCATTTTCTTTCACTTTATATTACTTTTATTCAAATAAAAATGTCAAATAACAACTTTGAAATACACAAACACAGACATTAGTACACACACTGTTAGTTTATACTGCAGATGGTGCTGCAATCGATTTATTATATTTTCTTTAAGTTGGCAATGCGTAAAATAAAGAGTGTGTAAATTAAAACAAAAATTCTTTCAAATTATCTATTATAATAATTGTTTTTAAATTTGTGCTATGAATTCAAATTTTTGGTAAAACTAAAACACAATTTGTTTTTTAAGTATCAATTTTCGTATGGAATTCTACATTATCGATATAACTTTATCTTGGTCGGTAAATATTATCAACATTAAACTCATGACCTGTTAATTACATTTACAAGTCATTCACGTTTTAAAGCACATATTATTAATGCATTCAAAAATTATTATTAGATAATAAATAGAATTTAAACCTGGATGAGTATTTATATCTATAGTAAGAAATTCGATTATTTTATCTTTGCAACAATAATCTAAAAGAGGAACACAAGTTTGAATGGAAACTCATACAATAGTGTATTAATTAGACTAACTAATTAAGGTTCGTTAATATTAATTTGATTTTCTAATCATCCATTTAATCGTGTGAAGCTTAAATTCGATTACTTTACTAAATGTGCTTTTATAGGTCAAGATGTGATATCAAATCGATTGCGATAAGAAGAGAAAGAAATAAAATTGTTAATGGGGTTAAAAAGATAAAACGAAGATAATATTTTATAGGTTAATAATCTTTCATTATTATATATAACATTTTATTTTATATATAGTATATGAATAATAAATAATTATTAATTTTGGGTTTGGTTTTCATGAGGCCCTAGATGGTACCATCATTTTTGGGGAACTCTCTATTAAAATAAATTAATAAATTAATTATTTTGTTTCCAACAAATATAGAATATTGAAATAAAAATCATATACTATAAATATAATTTAAATTTCCATTGTCATTTTTGAAGGGGCTTTTATAATTACGTATAAATCTGCTATTGATATTGTATAGAATATTTGTGGCTGTGTGTGGGCTAAACGCATTTATATATGTCACTGTTTTATCTATCATATAAACTTTTTACCCTGAAATCGTAAATACGGGAAATTACAGCGACTTGGTCGCAAGGGTTTGATCGATCAAGTAGGAGTTATCCCTGGTGTGGTTTTGTGTCCTTGACAAACTATGAAATAAAATATTCGTAAACTGTCTGCGGATATTCAACTAGTGAAAGGAACATGACATTACGTGATCAAATTAAAGATGGCGTATATTCTTTTCAAAATCTTTTTCATTCATTTTTAAATTATATTAGTAATAGTATGAACACAAAAAAATGTGCTTGATAATAAATAATACAAATATTTTAGCGAAAGATTGTAGTATTTATAAAAAAAAAACAGATGTTCGATAACTATAAATTGAAATGTTCAAATTTGTTGCAGTTGTTTTTGATTGGCCGCCATTTTTAATTGAGCACCAATCGAGATTAAGTGATCGATAATTTAAAGGTACATCATCGACAAATAGAAAGGAACTTTCTTTACTAATCAACGAATTGACATCATCGTAATATATTACAATAATCAACGGAAATGACATCATACTAATTTTAAGATCAATGAATGCCATTGAACAGGTTTAATTAGAGTCTCGTTAGATTGATGCAGGTGTATGTAAATATACTGAGCAAATATGCTATCTAATATAATTTAAACCACGAATTAATTTCTTCCCTTTTTTATATTTCAGAAGATAGTTTTTTTCTGGAGTACAAAACATAAATATAAATCAAAGATTTTGAAAAGTTTATCTATAAAACGTAATCGGTAAAATGCGTTGGCGCAGGTAAGAATCATAAAACGTTAGAAAAAAAGTGAAAGAAAGAAAGAAAGAAAGAGAGAGAAAGAAAGAGTGAGATCGAATATAGGAAAGTCCTTGACATGGCGGACTGTGCATATCGAATTTTATTCTCTCATGGTATTTACGTCCATACGCTTACGTCATAACGTGACACGACCTTATTGTTAGGTATACGCATCCACCACCGATCAGTTTCCTAACATTTTTAACATATCTCGATTATCAAGAGATCATTTCCGTGAGAAAAATATAATCTTAGAAGAAAAATAAAAATATTAAATAACAATAATTAAATATAAAAAAAAAAGAAAACAAACGAACGAATAAAAATAAAGATAAAAGGTAGAAAAAAAGAAAAAGAAGAAGAAGAATGGGAACAAAAAAAAGATAAGAGTATGAGATAATAATTCGAAAATAGGCGCCATATTAGATAACCCAGTGGGCTGCCATATTGAAATAAATACTATTGGTCCGCGTGAGTTGGCAATGCTGGGGAAGGATTTTAACGAATAGGGGGTCAGTATGCGCGGCGGTGTATGCGCAGTAATACGAGGCGCGCGTGTTACCTCGAACAGGAGCTGTTCGTCGCGGCGCAGGACGAGTTCTCTTCGATAGTCTCCTCTTATTCTCTTCGGTATAAAAGGCTACGTGTCGCCGGTACGTTTACGGTAACCTCGTCCGCGCGTGCCCGTTCGTAACCTCTCGTCCATCGTCCTCGTCGTCAATTTTTATTCCCTCCTCTTTCTCTCTCTCTCTCTCTCTCTCTCTCTTTCTCTCCCTCTCTCTTCCGCACCGATTTCTCTCCCCTCGCGCGCGTTTGCGGTATCTTAATTTTTCCTCATTTTTGTTTTATTTTTAAATATACACAAAGCGTATTCGAGAACACTTTATTTAATATCTCGTGGATTGTCATTATTATTATTATTATTATTATTATTATTATTGGTATCGTCGTCGTCTGTCGTGATTGGTGCGTGCGTGACCAAAGACGGAATACGCAGGAACACCAGGAATAGGAGGAACTGGTGAAGGATTAATTGTTGAATGAGTAGGGAGAAAGGATAGGTGCCCTTCCTTCCTTCCTTCTTTCTTTCCTTTTTCATTTCTCCTTATTATTTTGTCCCTTTTTGTCTTATTCCCTTTCTTCCTTTCTTTTTTTGTTTTTTTTTTTGTTTTAATGCGTGCATATTAAGCATGCACGCATGCTGATAAACAACGCTGTCACACACGCGTAGATGGAAACACGTGTGTCTGGGATCTCATTGAAGATTCGATTTGTTTTATTTTATTGATATTGTGTGTTATCAATCTATGACTCTATATTCGGACACGTGAATTGAAAGATCATTTTGAAAAAAAAAAAACATTTTACGGTATACGTTAATTACATCGATACAATGATAGATGATTTATATTTCAATGTTTTATTCGATTGTACAAATGTGAAAACTTTTTAAATAAAACAAAAAAAAAAAGAAGAAGAAATCGTTTTAACAACACTTTGAAGAAGTCGTCGACATTTACATCCAATCGACCCAGCTTTATACTCCTCTCGAGTTTCACATTGCAACAGGTAAACTTTCGAGAATTATTTTTCATTAATAGTCATTTCTATTTACATAATTGGGAATATCGTTTACAGATCGAAATAGGATTCAATTTAGTTTTATTATTTTTGTATTATCGTTGTTAAACAACCACTGGAATGTGATGATTCACATTTTTCTTTTTTTTCTTTATATATTCAAAATACATTTGTCAATGTTTTTATTAAATAGACAGAAATTTAATGTAAAATAGTAAATGACTATTTATAAAACTTCATTCATAAAAATCTAAGGAATCCATTTCAAATGAAAATCAAAACGCGAACGATCAATTAAAATAATTTTCCTTTAAATAATAAATCCATCATTGTTCTAATCAAAATTCACAAATAGATTAATGCAATTATATTGGGAAAATTGTTTAAACATCTTGTTAATAAACGTGTACGTACGTTAACAAAAAAAAAAATTCTATTTAATTGTCTCGTCGGACTAGTTTAACGTTTCTACTACTTTCATTTCCATCCCTTCGTAAAAGGCCAGGAAATAAAATTGAAAGCCAAGAAAAATACGTACGATAAACAGCTGATCTTGAATGTCGTAGACAAAAGAGAGACAAGAACGATGCAAAGATAGATATTCTTTGTGTGTGTCTGGTAATTTCACCCTCAGGAAAAGGAAATAGGAGAGGTGGATGAGGGTGGGTGAAACAGACAGGCACACCCTGCGACTAATTACACCTTCGTGTTTCCCCATAACCGAAAGAATGATAGATAATTCCTACTTTGACAAGATGTATTTCCCGATTTTTTCCACAAAAAATTAACCTACTTTTTAAAGTATTTTTTTTTTATTTTATATATAAAAAAAAAAGATATTAGAAAAATGGTGGAATTTCATTCTCGTATTTATTGATTTCAGACAGAAAAAATTTCATTTTCAAAGGCTCGTGTTCATGCATTCCTTTTAAACACATTCATAACTTTTAGAATTTTGTTTAGATATTTAAATAATTGTTATTAATTTTGTTGTTCATAACTATACGAATTGGAATAATATTCTTTCTTTTAAATTAGAATAAAGTACATTAAATATCGTTCATATTTTTGAATGATACTTGATAAAGATTGAATTGCATTGAATAAACTATCGATACAAATGATATTTCAATATATTTATCTCTATAAATAATTGAATGAAATGAAATTAAATGGTCGTTTAAAAATATATATTCAATCGACATTACAAATCGAATAAAGATTATTAAAATCGATCGTTGTATTACACGTTTGCAGGGTGGTAAGATACCAATGTGAGAGAGTTCACGATTACTATATTCGCACATTCAATTATGTAAACTTTCTTTCATAAAGCATCAGCATATTATCGATTTGCGTGCTTATATCTTCTTATTAAGCGTTTATACAAACATTAAGAAAAAAAAAGAAAAAGAAAAAATATAATCAGTACACATTTTTATATAAATATAATATTATTTTTATAATATATTCATTTTGATATAATCATCTGCTTTTGTAATTGTATGTATATTAATATATAAACACATATATATACACACACACACACACACATCATAATATTATATTAATATAATTAAAATCACTGTGTATGATTGAAAAATTTAATTACATTTATTAACAATTCAAATAATATTTTATATAGATATATTCGTTACGTGTACTTTACATATTTTTCTTTTACTATATTTCTAATTAAATTTTTCCAACGAGACAAAGTACAATATATGTATTTGTTTTTATAATATAAAAAAAATGCGAATATATTAGACAAAGAGAAAAAAAAAAACGAAAGAAAGAAAGAAAGAAAGAAAGAAAAAATGTATTTTTGTTTTTAAACGAAGTTGATGTAATTAGCAGCTTTTGTAACCCTACAATTTCCATTAGAATCGTTCTTAAATGGTTAAAAGTACAACGAGGATTATACACGAAGGGATTAAAATCGGGTCGATGTTGTTTGATAAGAAGTAAAAAAGTTGATAGGAGGGTGGCAAAGGGGTAGGAGTGCTTTAAAGGGGGATAAATGTTTCGCCAGTTCTTTCTAACTTCAACTACGGAATATATATACATAAAAACCTCACGAAATGCTCACGATGTTTTCAGGTTAGTAACCCCCATTGGTTAACGCGGATTATCGACTATTAAGGGTAGAAAGAACCAACGAAATTTTTATGATTATCCTGAATCATGCAACGCGTTGTTTTGTTCTTTTATCTTATTAGAAATATTTCTCAGTGGTATAAATAAAAGAAAAAAAAAAGTAACTATATGATTTATGATTAAAAAATTCTAAAGTATATTTTTTTAGGGTCTTGATTAATTAGATCAGAAGAATAATACTTAATTAGAGAGATAATTAAAATAATTCATTTGTTAAATCAATTAATTGTAGAAATTTGAAAATGTCTGATCACTTTGTCTTACACTACTTACAAATGTCTGATCATATATAAGAATACCTTTTCTTATACTACTTAAAGATGTCTGATCATATATAAATGATTCCTCTGTGTTCGTACTACTTAATATTTAATACTAATTTTTAAATAATAGTTTATCTTTTGAAATTTAAGTACATTTGCATAGAATATTTGTATCGGAAAATTTTGAGCTTCCTAAAAAATGTTAGAACAAATAATATAATAATATTAATAATAATAATATCTTTTAAGAAAGAGAGTTTTAAAGAAAAAAATAAATGTAAATTTTGTTATGTGTGTGTGTGTGACTCCATTGAATAAAAGAAAAGTTATAGAATGTAAATCGAGTGTGTAGAAAAATAAATCATCCTTGGATGATCGCATTGTATTCAAATGTATAATATACAACGATGTTCATGTTGAACGTAATACTTTTTCTAAGGAATTGGAATGGCAGGGGGAGGGCGTTGGATATAAGGGTGGCGCTTTTTATCGTATAAATATGCATCCTTTTTTTTTTATTCTTCGTAGATAAGCTTTGTATAAAATGCTGATACGAAATTTGTTCACGGGGATGATATTGTATTTTAGATTCGATTCACGTAAATGTATTATTAAAGTTTTATTCATACATCTTTATATA